CGCCCAGTGTTGCTGAGTTCTTTGCAGGCAGGCGTCCGGCTGCAGCACCTGTGCCGGCGTTGTCTCACCCCCCTGCGCGCAATTCGTCAATTGCGTCAATTGCCCCAATTGCTGTGACAACAAGCAAAGCTGCTCCGCCAGCTCCAGCCAGCCCAGCTGCTGAGGCAGCTGCTCCGCCAGCTCCAGCCCGCCCAGCTGCTGAGGCAGCTGTGAGAGATGCCACTCCACCAGCTGAGCCTAGCCCAAATGGAGATGCCCAGGGAGCTGAGCCTAGCCCAGCTGTGGACCCGGCTGTCGAGCCTAGCCCAGCTGCTGAGGCAGCAGCTGTGACTGTGCCAGCTGCAGATGGAGATGGCGCACCCATTTGTCTGATTTGCCAGCAGGAGATGACCAATGGCGCGATGAAGACACTTGGGTGCGGCCACACATATCATCTTTCTTGTATGGAGGGCTGGTACACAGCAACATCCAACTTCGAAGAGCGTTGCCCTCTCCGTTGCCAGATCACGCCCCCAGCTGGTGATCGAGCTGTTCGAGGAGCAGATGACTTCGAGGTTGTGGACTTCATGTGAGTCTGAGTGAGTGACTGGCAGATGATCGGATGGCTGAACTTGGCCCAATGGCCCAATCTAGTTGGCAGATGGCTTGGTCAAGCCAGTGAGGAAACTTTAAGTTGCAGCAGAGTTGTTTATGAGTTGTCTATAGTATAATCTCATTTTTTTTTTGAACCATTGGCTGGCCATCATCGAATTTTATTGAAGTTTGTCTCATTTGGGGGGATTCTCTCTGCAGTGGAGTCAGCTAAATGCCGGACCACTTTAGCTTTGACGCAATTCATTTGTGTCAATTGCCATCAATTGAGGTGTGTGAGTTGCAATTGTGGTTTGCCAGCAGCAAAGGCGTTGGTCTGAAGCTCCATTGGAAGAGATGATGGGGAAAATGCATTGTTATGCTATTGCTATTGCAAGCTGCTTTCATTGAATCGTTAAAAGCTTGTGCTGGAGCTCCTTTTTTTACTTGTGTTGTTTCTGTAGCTTACTTTTCTGCAGGCTTCGTTGTGGAGTGAGAAGGCTGGAACTTCACTGACTTTCTGATTTTTTTACACTTGTGCAATGATGATGGTGAAGTTGAACTGTCAAGACTGCCGGAAGTCATTCATTGCTGTTCGCACATTGGTGAGTTGGTATGTGCCTGCCAGATTTGGATCAATTGACTTCTTCAACTGAAAAAAAACTATATATAATGATTCATAAGACAACCAAACAAGAATCATGACAATCAAACCAAACAATCTTCAGGCTTTGAACAAATGATGTTTGAATTGCAGTGCAGCAATGGTGCCAAACCATGGACAATCAGTAAGAGATCACAAACCTAAACCATGGCCAATCTGTAAGACATCATTTGAGTTTCAGGTAGTTCAATTTGAGTCAATTGTGTGATTTGTCTCATGGACTTCGATGATGGCGGCAGTGACAGTCAGGAAGGGCGTGACGACTTTCAGTCCCTGACTACAGACTTGGAGCCCTTTACTTGCGATCACCCATTGCTGAAGTTTGGCCAAGTTGGCTACAATGGACCTGCTGGCTTCATGTGGGACTTTGCCTATGTCTATGACAACCTTCATGCTTTGGGCGAAAAGAAGCAGAAGTACAAGATGTTAAAGGAGCTCCAGGAACAATGCTGTGAAGGGCAACACTTGTCCAGGGAAGATTTGCATGTGAAAAAGGAAAGAAGGCTAGCCAATTTGCCCAAAACAAAATTGTCCTTGATGAATCATGGTCGAACTATGTTAGACATGATTTGACATTGAAGAGGTTGTTTCAATTGTGTAATCAAGAGTAATCATCTGCATTTGTTGTGCAGGCGAGGGTGCTTGGCCGTTGATGCAGTGAGCACATTGCTTGTCTTGCACTTTTTGCTCGACTTGCTCAACAAAACAAGAACTGATGCCAAAGCGCTGACTATGAGAAACTATTTCAAAGATGTTGGCATGCTGGTCACCCAGGAAGCAAGTCGCCACAATGATGTGCTGAAGTTTTCAGTTGGTGACTTTCCTATGCATGTTCTGCCTACAGGGAAGTTGCAAGGCTTTCGTTTGTGGCTCGGAAGACATGTTCACAAACAGGTGGTTCAATTGTGGCTTACACTGTGGAAGTGGATGGCCAGGGAAGACAATGGGCCACTTCTGACAGAAGACATTTCCAGCAACGATGATGAGGAGCCATCCTTGGTGGATTTACTCATGTTTTGTGTCAATTTTATACATTCCTACAAGGCGGCCCATTCGTTTCGACAGCCTCCCCCTTTCTCCACCGATAGCATGAGAAATCTGCAACAATGCGTTCTCAAGTTTGTGGCGTGGGTTGTCAACAATGTGGTGCTTGAGATGATGACCCAGCAGGACGATTCTCAGCCAGTGCCATCCAGACGCGTGAGAAGGCTAGGTGGTAGTCAAAATGCATTACTTTTTGTTTACTGTAAAATAGTTTTGTGCCTGTGTGAATTCTCGAAGGTGTGGAAATTAAAGGTTTTGAACCTTGCCAAACAGGAACTCCGATGCAAATCTGCGGAAGATGAGTCCTCATGAGATCTGGCGTGTCATTGAGCAAAGCAAGGATACTGGGGTGTCATACCAAAAGATTTGTGCTCTGCGAAAAGATGACCCACAAGGAGGAATCAGTGAGCAACTGACGTGGGTTTGGTACAGGCAGTCAAAATTTCAATGTACAGAACACAGGCCGTCATCAAGGCTAAGTTTCTTCAATGTGAAGAACTTCGCCATTGTCACGGATGCCTCAACTCATAGCAACAAGGACTACCTGATGAGCCTGGCCTATGACCCTGTAAATGGAGTAGGGGCTCACATGTGCTCAGTTCACGTCAGGTCAACAAAAGTGTTACACCCACAGGAGATGGAGCTGACACCAGAAGCAGAGCGCTTGGCAGCGAGACGGGAAATTGAACGGCTTAGCAGCTTGAAGTTCTTGCAAGGCCTTTCGGCCCAGATATGCAAGTTGACTGACCTTTGCTTGGATGATTTTAAATTTCCTGAAGTCTTGCTCAAAATGTTGGAGCTGCAACCAGGCGATAACTTCTTCTTTGACGACAATGTCGCAGTGCTGAATGGAGAGGAGTTTCAATTAAGTCAATTACGTCAGTTGTCTGATTTGCCTTGTTTGCATTGCATCATGGACCAAGGCAAAGTTGGCTGCGCAGCTGCTGCCTTTGTCACTTCCCAAGCTGGCCTCCAAATCCACTTCACCTTCGACAAGATTCACCGCCTGTTGAGAGACCTGAAAAACCCAATCAAAGCAGCTGGCTTGGAATCTTGTGTTTTGGCAACAACGTATCTGTTCAGCGTCAACACCAAGCCTTTTGGAAGTGGCCAATGGTTTACGGAAAAAACTCAGATCTTGGAAGCATTCTTTGAATCCAACAGCTTTGATCCTGGGTCATTTGCTTGGATCTCACTTTTTTGTTGAAGTTGGTTGTTGATTTTGTTTGTTTGCGAATGTAGGCTACTGGAACAAATCATATTTGAAATCAAGTTTTGAAGCAGCTCAGGACTGCCAATGGTTTCAGGCATTGAAAGAGAGAATTGCCAATGATTTTGGTATGGAAGGGTGCTCCGACAGGGAGATCTGGGACTCCATTCCCGAGCAATTGGAATCGTGGAGGCTCAAGGGCGGACTTGCCAAGGCAAGCAGATGGTTTTCCTGGAACGAAGGAGCTGCTGTCCACTTGAAAGAATGGCATAGCTCCCTCATGCTCCTCTCGTGGTACTTCCCAACAGATCTTGACACTGATGGTCAGTCTGGTTTGTTAGGCCTCAAAGGCTGTTTGACACAGATGTATTGGGAAGATGCCCACATCATCTTCAGAGTTCAATATGGAATGTGGTCGTGGTACTCGCAGCAGATCCATGATGTCAAAAGCCCAGAGCATGCAATCATTGAATCTTTGGAAATGGTCGAGTCATGGATGAGTCATCAGTCTCTCCAGACCCTTGCTGAATCGTGGAGCGCTCAAACTTGGGCCGATGTTGAGCGGTTTGTGCCTGACCAGGAGGCCTTCATTGCCAGAGTGAATACCTATGCTCTTGGATGCTTGATGAATCGTTGCGCAACGCTTTCCAAGTTCTCAGCTCCACCTGAGACATGGGTTGGGCTTCTAGATCCCCAGCAAGCACAGGTGACAAGAATGCGGCTCTTGAAGGAGTATCGTTGGTTTCAATCCTTGCGGTGCAGCATGGCTCCTTTTGCAGCAGAGCTTGCCAGTGACATTGAGACGGTCTTCGATTTGCCTTGTCGTCATTTGTGTCATTTGTGTCATTTTGACTTTGGAGCAGCGCAAGAGCTGGCCAAGCTGCTGATTGGTGGCTTTGCGGATTCAAAAGTGGTGGAGGACATTCACCAAGCATGCAGGGTGGCCACGAACCCAGGCAGCAACAAGAAGCTCTCTGGAGCTACGTTGCAGCTTGTTTGCCAATTCTCTGAGGTTTTGGACAAGAGAGGGATCGTCCATCCAGCTGCCGTAACCCGTGAAGAATTCTTGGACAAGTGGCCTGATGCCAGAGATGATTTCAACTGCCGCCAGGAATTCAAATCATCCAGCCATAGTCTACCAGCTCGCTACTCAGAGATTCTGACGAAGAAGATGTGGCGCACTGTCAGTGAGGATTGGCTTCGAACCTCATACGGGGCATGGCAATGGATGATTCAATACTGCGGGCAAAGGCTTGCTGACCAAGGTGTTCGCCTGGAGGCCAGGGAAGTGACGAAAATGACCAAAATGATGTGTAGCAAATGTTTTTGTGTCAGTTGAATTACCCGTCAGGATGGTCTTCTGAACCGCCTTGCTTTTCAAGGGCAAGTGATTGAAGTCAATTTTGTCTATCTACTCATTTTGGGCAATTTGAAGTGGCAAGCCCTTGCTTGGCCGTTGAAGCTTGTGGACGCTGCTGATGATGATTATCGCATGATGCGATGGGTTTTGGATTCGTCGTCAAGTTGTCAATGGCTGCAATGCTCTCTGAACATGCCAGCTTTTCAAACAAAGCTAGTCTGGAGCAATGAGTTTGGCATCCACTGGCAACAGGTTGGGCCTCCTGAAACATTTGCGCAGAATTGCTTGCGGCGCTCCAATGGCCTGACATTCACAGATCTTTGCTTGATGGGGAGGCATCTTTTTGGCTCCGAATCAAAGAGAAGTCTAGGAAGGACATCCTTTTGAAGCTGGCGTTGCATTTCGGAGATGATTTTGCAGAGCTGGTCTTGGAGTGCGACTCTAAGACGACAAAGAAGTCATCATCTGATCCAGATCAAGCAGCTTTGGTAAAAGCTGTGTTTGACCACTTGGACGCGGATGAGCAGAAGGAGTTTCGCTCTGTCAAGGAGAATGTCTACAGGGAGGAGAAAACTCAGAAGCAATTGAAGTGGCGCAAATTGCTCAACGAAAAAATGGAGGAGCAAGCAGCAACTTGGATGAAAATGTTTAAGCTGGTCTGGCTAGTTTGTTCCAGCTGCATTTCAATTTTTCATTTTTTTCCAAGACAGGCATGTTATTGCATCTACGTTTTTTCCACTTCCAGGAAAAAGCCAAGAAGAAGGCTGCCAAAGGCAAAGGCAAATCCAAAGCCAAAGGGAAGGTGAAGGGAAGAAGCAAAGGCAAAGGAAGAAGTGGCCGAGGCTCAGGAAAAGGGGCTGCAAGCAGTAGCGGAAGAAAAAGGAAGAGGGAAGCTGAAGAAGATGACGAGCGACCAGGCAAGGAAGCAAGCGATGCTGTGAAGATGGAAGACGAAGAGGATTTGGAGGAAGAAGAAGCTCAAGTCAATTTTGTCAATTCAGGCAATTGCGTCAATTCAGATGTGGAGGACCCACTGCCAAATCCTTCTCCAGGTGAAGCAAACGAAACTGAACGTGCTGAAGCAGCAGCTGAACTTGCTGAGGAAGCAGCTCCTCCTGCTGAACTTGCCGAAGAAGCAGCTCCTGCTGCTGAAGTTGCTGAAGGAGCTTCTCCTGCTGAAGTTGCTGAAGGAGCTCCTCCTGCTGAACTTGCTGAAGCAGCAGCTCCTGCTGCTGAACTTGCTGAAGCAGCAGCTCCTGCTGCTGAACTTGCACCCCCGGCTCAACCGGCTGAGCCAGCTCGGCCAGCGCCTGTGCCTGGCAGAGATGTCGGGCCTCGAGTGCACTCAACACCTGCCCTCCTCAGAAGCATTGAGCCCAACAGTTGGTTCAAGTTGAGGCTTGACAAGAATGCGCACAGGTTTCAAGTCGAGATGGACAAGAATAGAACGGTTCAACATGAGCTGTGGGATTCAACCCAGAGACAAATGTATTATTCCAGAAGTTTCAAAGCAACAGGTGACTGGAAAACCGCACTTCAAGAAGTGCACACTTGGATGTGGGAAAAGTTTGTCTTGGCTGGGTTGGAATTGGGGCCTGGAATCCGAGATCAAATTCCAGGAGAAGTCCCAGATGAAGTTTTTGAAGGCCTCAAGGATGAGATGAGTGCGCTGCCACCTCCTAGGAATTATAATAACAGGAGAAAGTAGAAGAGCGCTGGGATGACAAAGTCATCGCCTTAGGGCCTTGGTAAGACGCTCTGGTTGAAGCAAGTCCTTCACCTGATGCACTTGCAAAATCGCAAGAAGATGCTCTGTTTAAAAAGGAATCAAATAATCCTGTCACATGTTGGGGTCTGCTTGTGTTTATTGTGAATTGACTCAATTGATTGATTTGTGTGGTATTATAGCCTGAGGGTTGCACCTGGATGGTATTTTTCAATGCTTTGTCAAATGTTGGGGCCTGCTTGTCATGTGTCAGTGCGAATTGACTCAATTGACTTGAACCAGATTGATTTGTGTAGTGGCCAGTGGTATTGAAGCTTGAAGTTTGTGCCGGGATGGTCTTTCAATGCCAATGCAGGCTGCCAGATTCATCATCAGGCCAAGGACTCAGGAAGCCTTTACTTTTATACGCATGGTCAGAAGCCTTGGACTGGTATTCTTGTCAGTGAAGAAACCAAACAAAATTGTGGACTGGATTAATTCTTTTACCGCAGGTTTTTTGGCCCATGAGCACATTTGTTGGTTTTGCCATTTTGGTCATTTGTGTCAATTTGTTCATCATGGACCAGCAAGCTGGCCTCGCGTTTCTTCCGGTGATGGTGCTGTCCACTGTGACAGCCAGTGCCAGCCTTCAAGGCCCAAGTGCAGCTTCAGAAGATGACGATCAAGAGAAATGGCTGGATGACAAGCTCCAACAGATTTCTTCGTTAGATTTCTATGATTTCTTGGCCTGCAGCAAATTCAATAGGCGCTGATGCTGTTTTTGTTCTTGGAAAATTGAGACAACATGCATCGAAATTGAAATTGAATCATTCTTTGATGATCAATGAATAACCTCGAAGTCCATTTTGTTAATTGCCCTGCAGGCGTGTCGACTGGCCAGAAGGACTGCATCATGTCAAGTCCACATGTCAAGACTTTCTTGATTTTGACCAAGAGAATGGCGGCAGGGCCTCGAAAGTGTGGCCTTCATTTTTGTGTGAAGCATATCCTTTTTTGCGCGGCGCAACATCGTGCTTGGAGATGATGGTGCTGGTTGCTGAAAGGTTTCTTTTCAATTTGGTCAATTTCAATGAACTGGATCAATTGGAATTTGTTGAGTTTTGTGCTGGCCGAGCCCATCTCAGTCGAGAGATGCTGCGTCAAGGATTTCACCAAGGAGCTTCTGTGGACATTCTTTTTCATCCCCACCATGACATGTTGAGTTCCAAGGGACTGAGGACTTGGTTTGACATGGTAGTGGCTTCTCGGCGAAAGTCGTTACACTGGTTTGCTACCAGATGCTCGAGCTTCGTCCCGCTCTGTATCTCTCAAAGCATGAGATACGAGGAGAATTCATTCTACGGGGATAGAAGCAGGCCATGGGTGGAGCAGGGCAACCTTCAACAGGAAGTAACTGCAATGATGATGTTCTTCAGTTTCCTCTTGGATTGCATTCCGGTGTTGGAGCAACCCACAGGGAGTGTGCTTCCAAAACTACCATCCCTTCGTAATGTTTTGTGGTTCTTCGACTTCAAGAAGACAGTGACCTACATGGGAAGCTTTGCTGGCCCAACAAGCAAGCCTCTCCAGATCTGGCATCCGTCTTCAGGGCCTGGCTCCCTATTTGCAGCCATCGCCAGGCCAAGGCCAGATGGCTTGGACAATTTGGCTTCCAGTGGCCAGAGCTGGGATGGAAGCCACACTTACACTGGCAATAAGGAGATGCTCATCGAAAGCGAGCACTACACGCCAGAGTTTGGCGCTTGTGTCGCCCAAATCTACGAGCAGATTCGAGCTTCGTGAAAACTTCACAACGCTCAATTTGCTCAGTGTTGTCCATTCAAACTGTCAGTCAGTGTCTTGAATGCGACAAGAGTACTATAGCCCAAGGGTTCTGACTTTGAGTGGTGCGTCCCTCGGTCAACTTTGACTGTCTCTGTGGGGTCAAGAGGCAACATGGCATTTGCTCCAGCAAAAAAAATGCGCAATCAGTGACAGAGCACTGCAAGTTCAGCGTTGCCATCTCATGTGCTTCAGTCAATTTAATTGACTCATTAGCCCTTTGGCTTTTTGAAATACTTCAAATATGTGTACTGAGGTTGGAATTGTTCTGCTCCGCTACCAAGCTTGCTCCGCTACCTTCAAGAGTTCAATGCAGGCATGCTTGACTTCTTTGACATTTATTATTAATATCACTTCCCATTCGCATTCCCAAAGCAAGACCCAGGATCAGGTCTGGATGACGCTCTAGGCCTGCCTACTGTTTGTTGCTGGTCCTGTTTGCATTTTAAATGTTTTCAAAAGTAATTCTTAATAACTTGCTTGCAAGGCTCGGCGAGAAGTGGCAATTGGATCAATTGACTTCAGCTGATTATGATTGTGGCACTTGAAACAATTGACTGACTGACTAATTGAGTTCAGCTTCTCATCTTCATTCTTTTGCCCACTTGGACAATTGTCGATTTGTGTTTCTGCATGCTTGGGTCAAAGCATGTTGGGCATGGCATGATTTCTTGCCTAGTGATTTTTTATTTTATTTTTTAAAAAATTTTTGACATTTTTTTAAAAATTAAATTTTTGACAGAATTGACCGGTTCAATTGACAAAATTGACACAAGTCACACACATGATCGAAGCAACGACATGATTCAATTCACGCAGGTGAGGTCTTCACAATAATAACACAACCGCAGGTAAACGTTCAATCAACGTTTTACCATATTTTAGATTTTATCTTTTTGAAAATATTTTGTCTTTTTTAAATATTTTGTAAAAAATATGAAACCACATTTGTTTGCACAACGTTCTGGACAACAAATTAGTCTACCAAATTTCAGATTAGCCTACCTAAATTTCAGAAATGCCTATGTCATTTTCAAATCACCTAGGCATTTCTGAGATCAGGTAGGCATTCCTGAAAATCATGAACGGGCCAACCCCTACAAACTAATACCCTACGATCTGGGATGCATTCTTAAGTTTGTGATTTTCATAGGGAACTCAGGATCCCTACTCATCAGTGTTGGGGCGTGCGTTCACCGTGCAAGGTGCTGTCCACGCAAGCCAGTCCAGCGTTCCAGATGTGCAGATGCATGTTGATGGGTTTGGCTCTGAGTGTGTGCTGCCACGCATTTCATCCAGTATATGCGTGTCGTTTAAAAGGTTTAGAAGACAAGTATATAGTACAAGAGTCCATGAAGGTGAAACCGGCTTGAGATTAGATGAACTTCGCAGATGCCTGAATGTGCTGTGTGACATGGATGAATGCATAGCCATTGTTTGTGAACCGTTTGCCAAGGAAACGTCTGAACTTGTCGATGCCCTTGCAAGCCATGCCATTGGGTGACACGCAGCCAAGCATGGCCACTTTTGGAGAAACGCAGGCTGGAAACTAGTAAAAAATGAACCCCATAGGTGTGTATAATATTGTTTTATGGTGTGTTTTGACCGTTTGAAATTTAAATGGATTATAAAGCAGGGTGCATGTTGTTTTGACATTGTATTGACGCATGATGTTTCAATCCAATGGTATTGGAAAACACTAAGTTTTACATGTTGACCTTCGATGTTGCAAATAACATATGCATGATCGTTTGTTTTTCTTTGATTGGGTTGAATCCACTGATGTGCTCGCAGGTCGACATGTGCACTCTGGACACATTGCCTATGGAGATGGAAGCCTCGACTGTGGACTCTTCACCCGATGCTGCAGGTCCCATGCTTGCCCAGCCCGTGGTTCCTCAGGATGTTCATGAACCTCAGCCTGTGCAGACAGGTCAAGTTGCCCAGGCCCATGTTGTGCAGCAGATCGCCCCGCCAGTGACTCCTGTGACACAACCGAGCCCGATGCCTAGCCAACCCGTGCAGAGTTTGGTTGTCCCACAGCCTGCAGTTCCAGTGGTCCAACCTGTGCAGCCTTTGCCTGCCCCTGCAGTGCCCATGGCGAATCAGATGGTTACCCAACCTGAGCAGCCTCCACAGCCAGCAGTGGTCCAACCTCTGCAGCCTTTGCCTGTCCCTGCAGTGCCCATGGCGAATCAGATGGTTACCCAACCTGAGCAGCCTCCACAGCCAGCAGTGGTCCAACCTGTGCAGCCTTTGCCTGTCCCTGCAGTGCCCATGGCGAATCAGATGGTTAACCAACCTGAGCAGCCTCCACAGCCAGCAGTGGTCCAACCTCTGCAGCCTTTGCCTGTCCCTGCAGTGCCCATGGCGAATCAGATGGTTACCCAACCTGAGCAGCCTCCACAGCCAGCAGTGGTCCAACCTAGGCAGCCTTTGCCTGTCCCTGCAGTGCCCATGGCGAAGATGGTTACCCAACCTGAGCAGCCTCCGCAGGCAGCAGTGGTCCAACCTGTGCAGCCTTTGCCTGCCCCTGCAGTGCCCATGGCGAATCAGATGGTTACCCAACCCGAGCAGCCTCCACAGCCAGCAGTGGTCCAACCTCTGCAGCCTTTGCCTGTCCCGGCAGTGCCCATGGCGAATCAGATGGTTAACCAACCTGAGCAGCCTCCACAGCCAGCAGTGGTCCAACCTGTGCAGCCTTTGCCTGTCCCTGCAGTGCCCATGGCGAATCAGATGGTTAACCAACCTGAGCAGCCTCCACAGCCAGCAGCCCCCGTGCAGACTTTGGCAAATGTAGCACCAGAACGTGCACAGCCTCGAGCACCTGCAGTGGCTGCTCAGCCAGCAGTCCCTCAGCAAAGCCAGCAGCAAAAGACACAGCAGCCAGAGGTGGCAGCGGCAGAAGCAAAAGAACGAGAGCAAGCTGACAAAGACTTGCAAGCTATGGGTTGGCTGACTGGCAAGTCATGTCGACCTCAGGCCAGCCCTCATGGCACATCAGCTGCGGAGCATGTTGATGGTTCAGCAGACAATGCAAATATGTTGCGTCGGCAGAAGAGTCAAGTTTTTCAACTTCCGCCAGATTTGCATTCGCAGACAGGCCCCAATCAGGCACTTCCTGCCCGCCCTCAGCCTGCAGCTGTTGTCAAGTTGGAGCCGGTTGTGCGCCAGCCTTTGCCAGTGCAAAGCTCCAAGCCACAGCCCATGGATGCAGAGTACAGCCGCCGAGCAGCTGCAAATTTGCTTGCAAGGCTCAAGAAGAATCCTTCCAGGTTGGATGGCCTGCCATCACTTCGCAAGATGGTTTTTGAGGAAGAGAAGAAGAACGATTTGATTTCCATGCTGTGTGAAAATGGTGGCAACCTGGAGCAAGTTCAGGTGAACTTGCAGCAGCAGGAGGAAGTTGGTCGGGCTTTCTCAGCCAAGAAGAAAGCTCTGCGTTTTACAAGAAGCAGATGGAGGATTCTTATGGACAAGATGCCGACAAAGTCATGAAGTTTAAGGAGTCCATTGGGATGATTGAGGAAGATGAGAACAACCCAGACGGCATTGTGTACCTCATTGCCCAGCGTGAGGATGAGGAGGACAACTACAACAGATCAGGCTGGGATGTGCTGCGCATTTTTTCCATGAACATTCTGTCGGCAATTTAAGCTGGCACAGTCAAATTTCATTGGCAATGAAACTGTTTTTGTGCCGAATGGTTTTTCATCTTGAGGTACTATGATGAGCACTGGCAGAGTTCAGGTGACCCCGGCCAATGTCGCTGAGGTTGCAGAGGTCATGACACTAAGTGGAATTATTTAGCATATGGGCATGAGCTGTTTTGCTGTTACATGAGAACTGGAATTTACCACTGTGCAAGAGTCAGATGATTTCATGTGTGGAATCTGTGCATGTAATTGGTTGTGATGTTTTGACTGTGTTTGCAAGGATGGGCCCACCAAAGACTACGGCCAAGAGGCCGGCCCCGTCGGACAGCAGCACTACGAGCCCAACAACACCAGCGTCAGCCCCTGGCACTCCGCGTGCGGAGGAACCTCCCAAGAAGCAACCCAGGAAAAAGACCCCGGAAGAGCAGCTTCCCCTGACGCCCTTGCAAAAGGCCAAAGACATGTGCGGCAAATGTTTGAAACGAAAGTCCGATGCGAGCAATCTTGGCTTGACTTTGCAGTCAATTCCATATGCGGATGCTTTGAGCTCAGAGATGACTGCATTCGCAAAGAAGTTTGAGTGCCTTGGCAGCCATTTTTTGACAACCATGCATGGTCTCGAGATGCACCCAATGCATCCTAATGCGATATATACATATATATTCCCGATTTACTTTTCATAGATATGTATATGTATAATATGAGTATATATATATATATATGTTAAGCTTGTACGTTTGCATTGTTTTGGGCTGAGCAAGCATGGTCTGACATGTTTTCATCGATGCACCCCTTGCGACATAAATTTTGCATGGCCCGCTCAGGGATCTCTACCTGAAGACGCAGGCCCTTGTGAACGCCCAGAACAATGAGGACAGATTAACATGATTGCGGCCAGCGGTGTTTACCTTCTCGTGGACCAAATTTTGACCCTGGGATTTTTGTAACCTTTCATTTCCATGCCAATGATTCACATGGATGGAGATTATTCCTGCCCTTGGGAAAATGCAATCGCTTGGCATTGTGGTTTGCCTTCTGGCTTCATGCAGGAGGATGACTACATCCCACATGTGAAAGAGTTCATTTGCCTCCAGAAGCAGTTTGAGAAGCCCTACGCGGCCGGTAATGCCATAGCGAGGCAGCAAAATAAAAAACCAGCTAGCAAAGCCAAGGCCAAGGCAAAGTCAAAAGCCTAGGCCGACGATTGCCTGATGGTGGATCCATGGCAGTTTTGTTGAAAGTTTGAAGAACCCTGAAGATAAAGAAACTTGCAGCTCTGCAGATGTCTACCAGAAATACTTACACACTGTATATATACAGGAATGCTTGACAGATGGTGGACGACACCATTGGCGATCATAGGCTTTTTTCTGCTTGCAGGGCATGTCAGTGCGCTGGCGATGTTTGGATTTAATTGCCGGGGCGGCTCTGAGAACCCGAGCCTGACAGCCCGGGATGAGCCATGGGTGTGCAATTTCATTCTTACAAACATTGGGGCAAGTGACACAACCAAGTCTGCTTAGCTTGGCATACGGCCATACATGATGTGTCGGGAGCGCTGCGGAGAAGAAAATGGTGTCATTTTGTATTTGAATTCGGATTAGATAAAAGCAGTTGCGACGCCCAATTGCGTCAGACATGTTACACAGCCACTTGTGCATTTTTGGAGTGCTGCCATGCAGTCCCGCGCAGGCCTGATGTTGACGAAAACCCTGAGTTTCCCGACAAGTACCGGAAAAAAATGATTCTTGCCCACTGCAGCATTCATGCATGGCATCATCAGATGAGATGTGCATAACACATGACACATGTTTCATGGAAGAGTGCTGCATCTGTTGGTGTGTTTTGGTATTCAGCTTAGGACTGTGGATGAGATTGACAGCGCTTTAGTTTGCAGAATGGCTGAACGGGTTGCTGAGGGAAAACTTTCTGTGAGTGGTGCTGCTGCTTGTGCTAGCGATTTTGTTCAAGATGGGAGTGTGAAGGCTGGCCCTTGATTTGCTGCAACTTTTTATACTTGGTTTATAGCCTGTGCATGACAGCAATCAAACCCAAACAGTCTTTTCCGAGATTCATGTGTGTGTGTATGTCAGGTGAGTGCGAAACAGTTCGTTGCCTCACGTGAGCGGGACTTCTTTCGTTGGCTGAAGCTGCCAATTCCCATCTACAAATGTGAGGTCCCAGTGAGAACAGATGCCAGCAAGAGTTCGCAGTTAAATGGTCGTGGCAATGCCAGCATATCAGTGGTTCTGCCGAGTGACCACTTACAAGCTCTATATGATCAAGGGCCTGATGCGTCTTGCCACCAGCATTTGCAATGCACACATGCATCATGTTTTGAATTTTGTTTTTCCATTTTTTCCATTTTGTTTTTCCATGTTTTGAATTGCCGACTTACCTTTTTTCGCTGAGGCAATGGCCGAATGCTTGGGGTCACATGATGATTTTGGCAAACTTTGGCGTGCGTCTGGACGTGACCACATGGCATCATGCATTCCAATTATCATACATGAAGATGGAGTTCCTCATTTTTCAGGCATCTGGGCATGCATGCATCAGCTGAGAAGTTTTTGGGATAGCACGGCAACATATCATGACAACAACAGCTGACTTGTTTTATGCGAGGCAGCACCGCTACGGTTTGGAGCTGGAGCACTGGATGTCTCCGGAATGATTCCTGGAAAAGCAGACACGCTATCGCCATCATGGGCACTTCGCAGGTAACTGAAGAGACTAGGCGCGAGATTTGCAAGATTGTGGCTTGGGACATGAAACAATTGGAAGCTGGAGTCTATGACGTCGTCAATCACACTGGACGATTTCATCCACTTGGTTCGAAACGGGAAAAGCTGGCGGGAGAGAAATTTTCAATGAAAGCAGTGGCTAGGCTTTTCAAGATGATCGGGGAACCACCCAACGAGTTGGCACAAGTTCAATCTTCAGACGTTTTCATGAGGCATATAACAAATGCCATATATAGCACATGTCGCGTATGACAAAAAAGTTCAACCATGTCGGTTTTCATGACATGTCATGCAACTCCCATGATGAAGGGGGCGCAAGCCTCATAGATGCTTTTAAAAAACAAACATGCATTAGTGGGTGTATGGGTTAATTGTCCATAAAACATGACAAAGCCAAGGGGGTCAATCTGTATGATATCATCCATACCCCACAGTCACTGCTGCAGCATGCTTGCTGAGGCTTTCTGCTTCTGGAAAGGTGACATGGAAGCTCATGCGTACGCCCACCTTCTTACCCAGACTCAACGGTATTACAGATGCGCGCAATGCTGTGATTTTTGCTTGGCAACCACGGACAGAAGATCACCAGAACTCAGCTGGGGAGATTTGACTCTGAGATCGTTGTGGCGGAGTACTCTTACACCTTCAGATCCACATGACAGATCCCCATGGACACAAGTTCCGGGATTTGAGAAGAAGCTACGCTTGTTTGACCTTCTGCACATTGTGCATTTGGGAACTTTGCGAGAGCTCATTCCTGCGGCCATAATCAGTTCATTGGAAGATGGATCACTTCAAATGTTTTTTGGAATGACTGGCAGAAGTTGGGATGATACCCTGCATGCTTTCAGCCATCTAGCAGCGGCATGGGCTACAGATCAAAACATGCAGCTCGGCATTGGAACCCTTACAATGGCAAGACTTGGCCGGCCGAAGTACCGCCATTGGCCCATGCCTGCCCTGGACACCCGCATTAAGGCTGCCCGGACAAGAGCACTTTTTGCATTCACCGCTTGGGTTATGGTAAAGCTGGTTGATTCATGTGCTTTGGATACGGCTGCCAAAAAGCTGCATGGCAAAATGCGTGCAGTGTGTTGTTGGTCGCTGGACGTTGCCCTTAGTTCATGGAATATGAACGATGAAGTTGTCATGCCAACGCCGACGGTGGAAGAAGTCACATGGCTTTGCAGGCTACAGTCTGCATCGTACCAGTGGCTTGCTGCTCAATGTTTGACTGAACGTCGTCTCCTCTACAAAATCCGCCCCAAAACCCACTACTTCTGCCACATGATTGATGTCTTTGAGGAGACAGAGATTTGTTTGATGCATTTATCGACCTTTGGTGACGAAGATTTTATGGGAAAGGTGCGTTGTATTTGCCAAGGATGCCACGGCGGAACATACATGCTGACATGGGCACGACGCTATGTTTTGAAACGGGCGTTGCTATGGAGAGCGATTAAACTTGCGAAGCGTGATGGCAGCTGAGAAAACATGCCAAAGGATTTTTGGGATTGTGACATGCAGCTGTGTGTATGACATCTTCAATGGTCATATGATTTTTTCTTGCAGATTGTTCGACATTTTTTTTGTGCAATTGTTTTGTCACCAGATTTGGTTCCGTACAGATTTCTAAATCTAATAGTGGACCCATATTCAATCTCGAAGTTTGTCGTGCATGTTTTTCTTCAATTTGTCATGACGGCATTTTCTCGTGAACAGATGATGACGGTTTTTTTACAATGTCGTTCGCGCAATCACATTTTTATGTTTTTCTTTTTATAGCTGTACGTATATGTGGGAAGATGATAGACAGATAAGGGGTAAGGATAGAGAGACATAAATAGATGATAGCATGAGAGATTGGAGACATTTAGATTTTCACATTTTTCCGATAACTTGCCCATGGCCCATGTCATGTACGGCTGATAACTTGTATTTTCTGGTTTCAGCTGCAATTTTTGGACGACAAGTTAAACGCCCACGTTTAGGCAAATGCACGCGTGAACCGCCCAAGGGTGTTTCTCGTTTAGGTAAATGCGCGCATGATACGCCCCAGGGTGTTTCTGGCACCCACGTTTGGGCAAAGGCCCGCATGAAACGCCCCAGGGTGTTTCTGGCACACAACATACGCCCAAGGGTGTTTATTTTGGATCTGGGTGTAAAACATACGCCCAAACCCCAGGTTGGTACCTCCAGGTGGTGGACGAGCTCGCCACGTGCTTCCAAAAGATCGACCGCATGGCCACCCGTATGGTGTCTATGGGACTCATCAACCCGACGGAAGGGACCTACGGGAAGGTCCTGATGTTTCCCGTCATCACTATATAGATACTATATACGGCAGATTATATCAATGTATGTGTATGTATATATATAAATATATATATATATATATCTAAAGGGCATCGTTATAAATTAAAAGATACACCACGGCGTCTAAAGGGCATGGTTTTTATCATTCGAGGGGTGAAGATGCACATGGACAACTTCGAGGGGTGGGACGCCAACTTGTGCAGCTTGAAGAAGCAATTCAAGAAGAAGCTCAAGACGGCGGCGCCCGCACCAGAGTACATCAAGGAGTTCATCGCTCCCTCCAAGTTCACGGCAGAGATGTACTCGTACTGCTACGGGGACGAGGTACCAGTGGCAGCAGGGACACTGCCGCCGATCCCAAACCCAGACGGCAGGTTGAGAAGGTCATCAACGAGTCAGGCCCTGTCCAGTCAGGCTCTGGTCCCAACCATGCCCCGTGAGAATCAGCTGATGCAGGAGCTCTACCTCAGAAAGATGGCCATGATGAATGCCATGGAAGAGAATGTGGGCCCTGGCGGTTGCCTAGCAAACCTGAAGATCTTTAAGAAGGATGGGAAAACAACGCCTGCAGCTTCAGCGCCACCGTTACCAGCCCTGCCAGCACCAGTGGAAGCTCCGAAGGCACTGCCAGCCCCTGATGGGAGTGGATCTGCACCTCCATCCAGTGCACCAACTCCCGCAGCACCACCCAGTGCACCAGGCCCTCCAGGACCACCCAGTGCACCAGCTCCGACTGCGGAGGCTGTGCTTGAAGCATTGAGGAACAGGGAGCTTGCAAAGCCGAAGGCCAAATCAAAGGCCAAAGCAAAGGCCAAAGCAAAGGCCAATGCCAAGAACAAGGCCGCCACTGCCAAGGGAAAGCCTGGAAAGAGCACGGCCAAGCCCGCCAGTGCCAAGCCCGCCAGTGCCAAGCCCGCCAGTGCCAAGAGCACGGCCAAGCCTTCCAGTGCCAAGAGCACGGACTTGGGCAAGAGCACACTCCTTTTCAGACGAGGCCTCCTCTCCCTCCGCCCTGCAGTGGTACCATATGGTACCGTGCAGGCAAGATCCAATGTTCGAGCAGCGACGCCTTCAGGGTCTTCTTGAAAACGGGAGACAGATGTGACCGTCCTTCGGCTAATAGGCATCTGTTTTTGTGCAAAAATTCCCTGCCCATAAATATATATATATATTTATTTATTTATTTATTTATTATATAATATTTATATTATATATATAATATATTTTTTTTATCTATATTATATATATTGTATATATATATATATATTTTTTTGATATATTATATATATATTATATTGTATATATTATTTATAATATTTATATTGTATATATTATAGATTATTTTTATACATATATATATATATATATTATGCGTCTGTGTCAAAATTAATAAACCACCTTTCTTCTTGCGCAGCACATGCTTCAGGAAAGCTGCGACGAGGTGACGATCCCGCATCTGTGTGGAAGCGAGCCCTGGATGCCATCGATAGGGGATCATGGTGAAGGACATGCCGCTGAAGGACATGCCGCTGTCCATCCACGAGCGATCTTGGGTATCATGTACATTAGTGAGATGCCATCTATATGGGGTGATGGTGAACTTGCGGCTGTGCACCCAACATGGAATTTTTGCACATGCTGTACATTAGTGAGCTATGCCATTTGTAGGCGAGGCCAAGAGGCACCGTTCATGGAGTATAGATTAGTGAGTAATATCTCATTTGTAGGCGAAGGCAAGAGGCACCGTTCATGGAGAAAGTTTTTCTTGTGCAGTCACATGATCGTTCATGCAGTCAAGAACCAACACACTTGCCTCAAGAAAGACACATCTCCGTTTCGGCGCTCAGGTCAGAATCAATCTTTGGTGCGGGTGCCTGTGGCCAGTATGTGGGGCAAGTGAGTAGAGCAAGAACATATATTGAATATGTTTGACACTGGTGCCCCTGACCTTCCCTGTTTGCAACGGGATGCATATTTTGAAAAGAATTTCCAGCTCATATGCGTGCCCCTGTTTGCAACGGGGTCATACTTGGATATATTCCCATGTCTAGACATGCCCAAATATGTTGTATCATTGTTAAGTTCAATGGTTGGAATGTTGCCGGCTTTAATGCATGTTGATACATGCCCTGTTCAGACACCATGGATGGGGAAACCGCAGAGTTTGAGGCAATTTTGTGACATGCTAATGTGTGGCGTTGGGGTTGTTCCCAATAGGATCTGAAACCAAGCAGGTGTATGTCATATATAAATACTTAAATGATATATCCGCATGGGAAACGATAGCCCAAACCAGTGGACCGGAAGATTGCCAGGTCCTACAGCAGATCAAAGGGGAATCTTGAGATGTAGATCTGTGTTTAACTAATTTGAGATCTCTGTTTGAAACGGGGTGCATATTTTAGGATTGCACCTATAAGGCTTTGAAACCCAACAACTATACTGAACATATATCTTCTGGAACCCATTGTGCCAAATCGTTCGCACTTTGTATTTGCGGGTGCGTTATGAGCACCATGCCAAAGATGGGATAAAGACCATGCCGCCATTACCTTTCCCAAGCAGTGCTCGCCACAAAAGGCAGGGCCGACATCTGCAATCATTACGAGATGGGATGACCAAGTCCGACAAGTGTCAGGGCAAGCTGACTATATGCTCACATACAGATTATATGATCTATCCTAAATCTATCTCATTACATGTACTGCACCAGATACATGACAAACCTGCAATCCATTGATATGCGATTCTGTCCGTGAAAGTTTGTCATCCCGATGTTGGTGAACATTTTCTTCACTGTGCCTATATAGATCTGCCACGATCTCAGCATTGATTCCCCCTGTGTTTTTGCTTCACCTGATTCGGAACTCAAGAATTCACATCGCCATGAGTGCATCATCGAGCGACGCCTCGAGGAGGGTTTACACCCATACACACCGACGTTCTTATGTCAGCCAGAGTGGGCTTGTAGAGGTTTTGAAGAGTGTGAAGGAAAATGGACTTCCATCGGCTGTGAGCAGAGGGGCCTTGAAACGTGCAAGGGGGGATGCCCTGATGAATGAGACACCGCTTGGATCTCTCTTCACGACGACCGCATTGGAATGCACAGATGGGCGGAGTCGAGAGTTTCCGTGCATCAATCCACTTGCCTGCCTGTGGATGGTGCTTCACCAGTGCCAGCGGTTCTCCGAGTGGTTTCATGGCCTGACGCCCTCATCCTTTTCCTCTCCCTGGGACTTGACCGTCTGCTGTGACGAGATCGCCCCTGGCAACGCATTGAAGCCCACCAACGAAAGGAAGATTGTCGCATTCTACTGGAGCATTCTTCAGTTTGGGCGGTTGGTCCATGCAGAGGAGCTGTGGTTGCACATCCTCGTCATTCGATCCTCACTTATGAGGAAGATTCGGGGTGGGTATTCCCAGGTCCTTGCAAAGGTTAGCCGGCTGTTTTTTGCGGCACCTTGGGACTTGCGGATGGGCATCCAGCTGTCAGTTCCGGGCATGGGGGATCGTTTTCTTTTTGGGCGACTCTCTATGGTCGTGGCGGATGAAGCTTGCTTGAAGCAGCTCTGGTCTTTCAAAGGAGCTGGTGGGACTATGATGTGCTTCAAGTGTTCGAACGTGGTTACTCACAGTTCTCGGCTGGATGCTTTCGACGCTTCTGGTGTTCTGGTGCCCAGTTGCGTCACCAGCTTGAGTCAGTGCAGACTGCAGACATGCGAGGCCATCAAACTTAATGCCAAGCATCTCCGTTATCAGAGCTCAGTGTTGAACAAAACGAGGTTCGAAGAACTAGAGCAAGCCTTGGGCCTGACGTATGATCCATGTGGCGACCTTTGATCCGACGACTTTCAGGAGATTTTCTCAGGAGTTTTGACCCTCGCTTCATTTGATTGGATGCACTGTTACATGGTGAATGGCATGTTGAATACAGAGATCAGATGTTTGTTAGATCACATCAAAGACCACATCAGTTCGAACATGATTCATGAATTTCTTGGTGCTTTGAACTACCCCTTTGCCTTGAAATCCCGTGGTACCACAGGGAAAAAAGTCTTCGAAAAGCATTCCTCCGGAGAGTTGAAGTGCAGTGCCTCGGAGGGTTTGAGCATAATCTGTGCCCATGCAGAGTTCATACATTCAGCAGGCAGACGTGCTTTCTAATCCAGCTTTGGATGACCATGGTATGTTGCACTGGTCGTAGCAGCAACAATTCAAAATGGAGCTAGCCAGTATCAGCAAGGACAGCGGAACCTCAAACAACCGCTCACACGCCAGTCAAACAACTTGTTGAAGGCAGCAGAGCACAAATTCATGGTAGCGGAGCCAGTTTCAAAAAGCCAAGCCAGGTGAGGTTAGCCACTTCCCTAAACTAGTTTAGGCCAGTTAGTAAACTAGTTTAGCCAGGCCACTAAACTAGTTTAGGCTAGTTAGTAAACTAGTTTACAAGGCCCGTAAACTAGTTTACTAAGGCCCGTAAACTAGTTTACTGAGGCCCATAAGCTAGTTTAGCCCTGGCCGCCCTGGCCCTTAAACTAGTTTACCATCCTGGATAAACTATAGTTTACGTAAACTCGACAAACTAGATATAAACTATCTAAACTAGTTATATACTCGATAATTTATAAACCAGGCGAACCTCCAAGTAAGCTTTCCTGTCAGCTTTCCTTTCAGCTTTTCTCCCACCTTTCCTCCCAGCTTTCTTCTCAGCTTTCCTGCCAGCTTTCCTTCCAGCTTTCCTGTCAGCTTTCCTCTCAGCTTTCCTGTCGGCTTCCTTTTAGCTTTCCTGCTATTTTTCTTTTCAGGTTTCCTGTCAACTTTCCTTTCAGCTTTCCTCTCAGCTGTCCTCTCAGCTTTCCCATCATTGTTTGGGCACTTTCCTGTCAACTTTCCTGTCAGCTTTCCTGTCAGCTTTCTTCGCAGCTTTCCTGTCAGCTTCCTGTCAGCTTACCTGTCAGCTTACCTGTCAGCTTTCCTGTCAGTTTTCCGCTCAGCTTTCCTGTCAGCTGTCAGCTTTCCTTTCAGCTTTCCTCGCAGCATTCCTTTTCCACTTTTCTCTGGGCTTACCTGCCGGCTTTCCTTTCAGGTTTCCTGTCAGCTTTCCTGTCAACTTTCCTGGCAGCTTTCCTGTCGGCTTTCCCTTCAACTCTTCTCTGAGTTTTCCTGTCAGCTTTCCTGTCAGCTTTCGTCTCACCTCTCCTCTCAGCTTTCCTGTCACCCTTCCTGTCCCCATCATTTTTTGGGCACTTTCCTGTCAACTTTCCTGTCAGCTTTCCTGTCAGCTTTCTTCGCAGCTTTCCTGTCAGCTTTCCTGTCAGCTTTCCTGTCAGCTTTCTTGTCAGCTTTCCTGTCAGCTTTCTTGTCAGCTTTCCTCTCAGCTTTCCTGCCAGCTTTCTTCTCAGCTTTCCTCTCAGCTTTCCTGTCAACTTTCGTGGCAGCTTTCCTGTCGGCTTTCCTTTCAACTTCTCTTTTTGCTTTCCTCTCAGCATCCTGCTCAGTTTTCCTGTGAGCTTTCCTCTCAGCTTTCCGTTCAGCTTTCCTGTCAGCTGTCAGCTTTCCTGTCACGTTTCCTCCGTCAGCTTTCTTCGCACCTTTCCTGTCAGCCTTCCTGCCACCTTTCCTGTCAGCTTTCCTGTCAGCCCTCGTTTCAGCTGCCAGCTTTCTTGTCAGCTTTCCTGTCAGCTTTCTTGTCAGCTTTCGTCTCAGCTTTGCTCTCAGCTTTCGTCTCAGCTTTCCTTTCAGCTTTCCTGTCAGCTTTCATGTCAGCTTTCATGTTAGCTTTCCTGTTTGCTTTCCTGCCAGCTTTCCTCTCAGCTTTCCTATCAGCTTTCCTGCCAGCTTTCCCATGCAGCTTTCCTTTCAGCTTTCCTGTCAGTTTTCCTATCAGCCCTCCTGTCAGTGGGAGTCACTGATTTTTTGGCCTTCGGCCTTCGGGTGCTTTCGGATGCCTTCGGATGCCGTCGGCCTGAGGAGCGTGGAGCCTTCTGGTTCAAAGATCAAGTGCCAGATATGAATCTAATCTGCAGCGAGGATGTCGGGTGTCATTGTGGGTGAATTTAACAAGTTTCGTCTCATACTACAGCAATCTAAAACATACTTAAAGTATCTGTTGATGGGTAGCAGCAGAACCCCAATGCAAAGCCCTGCCACTCGAAGTGCAGGAAAGTGCGAAGTGCGAAGCAACCCTTTTGGCTCGGGGCTGCACGACATGTAGCCAGGTTGGCTTGACCCTAGGGACCCCGTCCCTTAAATGGGGATATTGGGCCGATAGGGCCACAAACGAGAAAATGATGTTCCACACCCAAATTGTGTGGCACACAATTCACACGGGTGAAAAGATGGAAACATAGTTGAAACTGGCAAAAACGCAGCCTACCTAATCCTACTTGCAGTGGATCCAGCTGGTGCTTGGTTGTCTGGGTAGCGTCCAAGCTGATCCAGGCATTGCGTGCACCAACTATGGCCTAAAATTGGGCCACCTGGTCCTACTCCGCAGGCATTGGTAGCTTGCGTGCCAAATTCGGCCTTCAGCAGTAAAATAGATCTCCTGCTGTCCAGCCTCAATGATCATTCGGCGTCGATCGCGGTTGTAGTCCCGCAGGATGGTCTGGATCTTCATGTAGGCCTCATCAGTCTCGGCCAAACGATTTTCAGTTTCTGTCAGCATCTCCTCCAGACGGATGTTCTTGGCCAAGAGCTCGTTGAGATCGTCAACCAGCAGGTCGCGATCTGTCTGTGTCGCCTGCTCTGCAGTCTCCAGGGTGTTCACCTCTTTGAGGGTAATAACTAATAACCTTCCAGAGCGCCTGCAAAGCTGTCATCACACAACTTGGCCATGTCGTCAGACATCGGCATGTCGTAACGGTTCCAATCACCACAAGGAAGCCGATGACCAGGGCGATGATCGTGGTGTAGAGCTCGTACCCAGTCAGAGTTCTCATCGTTCAGGTGGTAGGTGATGTTGGTCTCGTTCATCAGAATGTTGCTCTCGTCAATCTCATAGTCCAAGTCTGCAGCGGCAGTTGTGCAGAAAGCTGCAAACATCGCCGTGGTGGTTGTGCTGGATGGTTTCTTCAGAGCGTATCGCTCCGTTCCTTTCTTTCGCTCCCATGGGGTCTTCTTCTTTGCGGCCACGAAGTCTCGGTCGCTTCGTAGGCGAGTCAAGTGACTCCTCATCCTGTCAGCCAGCAACTGGGCGGCTGATGCCTTACGAAGGCCGTCAGCATATTGAAGTTCTGAGCTGACCCAAAGCGTAGAGGCACCGCAGCAAAGGAGTTTGTCTTCTGAGACCAAAACCTCAATGGCAGCGCGCTTGTCGGCAATGCTTCCTGTTTGGATCTCATCTCTGACCAGCAGGTCATACAACGCCTTGGCATCAACAACCAACTTTGGAGAGTTGGCACATTGGGCGGTCTTGATGTCGTCCAGGGGCAGCCAAGGTTCCCATAGAAGTCGCCAAAACGTAGATGCAAACAAAAGCGCATCGGCAGCGTCTGATGCTGCTTGGCTCTCTGCTGCAAGTGTGCTTCTCGCCACTCGCGCCAGCTTCCAGCTTCTCCAGTCGATGATGTTGTAGTGTCCTTCTCCACCTTTGGTGACATCTCGGTGGGTCATTGCCACCATGTACCCTCCTTGACTGGAGAGGTCGTCACGTGATGCAAATGATGCATCAGAGTTAGGCAATGAAGGTGATCTCCTCCTTGGGCCCAAGATGTCGAAATTCTAAGCCAACGTTCTGCTTGGCAAACTTCAGGCACTTGTTGGCAGCGTCCAAGATGGATGTAGTCGCCTTGGATACCTGACCCACAAGGGTAGATACCATACACTGCAGGTGTGGGCTGGTCTGTGTTGCAGGCCACTGTAGGGCTCCAATCAAACCCCTCAAGGAAGTCTTCTCGCGGTCCGTGACTTCATCGTTGGACCCATGTCGCTCCTTGGGGTAGGTGATCGGCTTCTGCTTGTTCAGGTACTTCACATGATGGATCTTCCAATGATCCTGCCCTACCTTTGTGATCTGAGCACCACAGTATTCCAGCTCCTCCTTGTCATTGGAGGTGATCCATTCTCTGAAGTTGAAGATGCCCTTCAGGTTCAGCAAGACGACTGTGGTGTGCTCATCATTCTCAATAGTAACATCCAAAGATGTCGTCCACGTGCATGCCAAAGAGCGCGATCAACCTTGGTGCTTCAGCGCCTTCAGGTGGAGGTGGATGAACTTGTCGATCAAAGGCCAGGAAGAGGCAGGCATCAAGGGGATGTTGCACAATCGATCCCTTGCCCATGTTGTGGATTCTGGTTGTGGCCTCTTCGTACCAAGCTCGTGGAGCATCGCAAAGGCCATACATTGGCTTGATCAACTTCATAAGTTTTCCGTGGCCAGGGGCCAATCCAAGTAGTTCTTCTTCATCTCGGGGAATCTTCACCCAGATGGTGCGGTTGGACTCAGGCTTGAAGCTCTTGCCTTGCAAAAAGGCTGTGGAGATGTCGCTAGTGAAGATGGTCATGCCCTGCATCGTGGCAACGCTCATGATGTAGTTCCTTGACAACCTCGTCAATGTTGGTGACGTAGTGGATAGGTTGCCCAGGTGAGCGTCAGGATCTCGAAATCCTTGCACCACAAGTCTGGCTTTGGCTCTTGGGGTTCCATCCTGATGTTTCTTCCAGGTCAGGATGAACCTTGCCTTCAGCACTCGATCTGCTGGGGCATTGGCTGCATCATCAAAGAGCCAAACCTGATTTTCAAAGAAGCTTTCAAGCTCCTTCTTCTTTGCCTCCATGAAGGAAAGGCGATCTGCCAGAGACATTGTCCTCTCTGACAAGGGGGCATTGCTGCTGGGCTTGGTCTCGTTATTGTAGTACATCGTCTCCTTGCCTTCGCTCTTCCCCATGAAGATGCGTCTTGCATCTTTTCTCCGGGATGTGCAGATCTTGAACCGTGTATAGCCGGTCCACCAGCCACTACAGAGCTTCTTGTTCTTGGAAGGTCTGCTCCATTTTGTCACGCAGCAATTGGGTGCCCATCTTGCTGTAGCGGTCCTTCATGAGGTAGTGCAGGGGCAAAGGACAAGTGTCCTCTTCACGCTTGTAGTCGCAGTTGCGTGGCAGGTAGTGCTTGCGGGTGATGTAGTTGCCCTCAAGCCTCCATTCATCCTTGACCTCATCCATGGCGATCATGCCTTTTCAAGGATCCATCCTGCAGGAAGTCCAGTCTCCTTCACGATGTCAATGTCCAGGGTGGCATTGATGGTGTCGTCAGTTGAAAGTGGCTTCCCAGAGTATGGTGTTTCTCTGGGTTCTGCAGGTCGTTGGAGTCCATAGGATGGTTGTTTGGCTTGAAGAGCAAGGTCTCCTGCCTCTCAGTTCTCGCACGCCGTTGGGCAAAGGTCTCACCACCTGCTGGAGGTTGATAAGGTTGTTGCTGTTCAGGTGGCATTTGAAAGTTGGGGTCATTGGCCAGAAGCGACGGTTGGTTCTTCGGCTGGTTCAGTTTCCAGTCGGCTCAGTGGTGATGTCATTGAAGGTGGGATATCAGGTTGATCATCTTCCCAGAGCATCCTCACTTGAAAAAAATCAATCGCACTTGATTTTTTCAATCGCCACTTGAAAATGCCCAAATTTCAATAGAATTTTGTTTTTTTCAATCGCAAAATTCAAGTGAAATCTCAATAGAAAAAAAGAAAATTCAATAGAAATTTCAAGTGAAAATTCAATAGAAAAGTTTGGTTTTTGATCTAAATTTATCATTTTCATGCAGCTTCACTTAAACATATATTCATGCCAAGTTGCATATCATGTACTTGTGCTTTTTGTTTTCTTGGGGGGGCTGTCCAGCCCATGCTGGGGCTGTCCAGCCCATGAGCTGTCCAGCCCATGATGGGGCTGTCCAGCCCATGGTGGGGCTGTCCAGCCCATGTGGTGGTGATGGGGCTGTCCAGCCCAATGGGAAATTGTGTGCCCACTTCCAGCCCACAACTTGGGGCTGTCCAGCCCATGGCAAGGCAGCCAGTGGGAGCAACCTTTTTCCTCTGGGGCTAGCTTTGGTAGTCCACAGCAGCCCTGCTTTGTACACCTAATTTTCTTCAGGTTCTTTCCTTTCTTCTTCTCTTTGTGGGCTTTCTTCTCCTTGCCCACCTTCTCCCTGCCCATCTCCTTGCCCATCTTCTCCTTGCTCATCTTCTTCTGCTGGGGGCACCATGACTTGGCTATCCTCATTTGGGTCCAGCCTCCAGCCTGCAGCCCAAAGCTCTGGGTCAGCTGTCTCCTCAGCCTTCACCCAGCTCACTTTCCTTCTCTTGGGCACTGCTTCCATGGCACAGGAGCTTCTCTTTTTTGGGCAGGGCTACCAGAACCAGAAAGGGCTGTGGAGAAAGCTTTCCAGCCTCAACCATTCAAAACTTGTGTGGAATCCAAGAGGCTGTCCAGCCTATCAACCTTCCTTCCTGCAGGACTGCAAAGGCTGTCCAGCCTACCAAGACAGAACTGAAGCAATTCTTTTTTGCTCACCTCCCATCATCATCATCCAGCGAGATGTACCCTTTCAGGTAAAGGTGAAACAGAAGCCTGAATTTTTGCAAGGCCTTCAAGGGAAGCTTCTCAGCTGGAGTGCCACTTGTGCAGCTTGAAGCGATTTGGACTATCCAGCCCATGAAAGATTCACTCCCACATGTCCAGTTCAGGCTGGGGTGCATGAATTTGCTTTGCCCTGCTAAATGGAGCAAAACATGGGATTTCTGCACTAAACTCCAAAGGTGCAAGCCTTCCTCCAAGGCATTGGCTGCCAGCCAGCTGTAGTGGGCCATGAAATCATCCACTGCCTTCTTGAAAGCTTCAAACCGCCATTCTTGCCAGCTGCACCCTAAGACTTGGTATGCCTTGACCAACTGCTTTGCCAATGCTTCCCTGTGCTTCCCAGCCTTGTCCATGCTGTACTCCTTGGCCAGCTCCAAAGCTACTGGGGCAAAATAGCGAATTTTAGCTCCTTTGATGTGCTTGAGGCAAGGGTATTCTTCTGCACTCTCAGCCAGGTCTGACAAAGACAGGTGCTTGATCCTCTTTTGGGCTGCCACCCCCAGCTTGTCATAGGCTTCCACTATCTTCTTGTTCAGGTTGGTTAGCCCCACAGCTCCTCAGCTGGCCAAAAATTGTTTGCTTGCACACACTATATTGGGGCTATCCAGCCGAAAAAAATGAAGCTGCTATTGCTAGCAAAAATCTGGAAGCTCCTGGCAACTTCTCCATGATGCTAAAAAGCAAAGATCCATGTGCATATGCTGCTACACCAAGGTCCAGGATGTGCAAAATGTCCAGCCTAATGGACAAAGGGGTCACACATGGAGCTCTGAAGAGTGGGTGTGCTCCAAACTTCTCCTTGAATTTGCTCGGTGACAGCACACTGGCTCTCCAGGCTGCGGTTTGCCTGAAATCTGTGAAAAGCCTGGGGCTGTCTTCTTTGCATTGGTCTGCATTGCAATAGGGGCAGAGAAGGTTGGCTGCAGCATAAGGGAAACCAAACTCAGCTGCAAACCATTCTAAATCTCCACTCACTGACCATAGCACTCCCCTCCTCATTCTCTTCCCCTTGTATTTCTCTGTGGGCATCCCTGCCTCATCCTTTTTGGGCACCACACCATCCCACAGCACTTTCCAAGACCATGCCAAAACTTCCATCAGCTTCTTGGAGGTCTCCTTGGTCATGGCAGCCTTGGGCACAGCTGCGATTAGCATCTGGCTCTGGGTCACTGCCTTGCGGGAAAGCAAGCACCTTCAGGGCACATGGCATCCAGCCCAGGGCTATCCAGCCCAAGGGCTATCCAGCCCAATGAGGCAAAACATAGCAGCCAAGGTGGACATGCAGGCAAGGGCTATCCAGCCCAAAGCAGGAAAGGAAGCCAAGCCTGAAGCTGAGCACCTGGATGCTGTCCACCTCTGTGAAGGGCGCTGCATCTCCATGCAAAAGGTATGGCACTGGAAGCTGTCTTGGTTGTGATGTTTCAATCACTTTCTTCAGCTCAGCTGTCATCTGGGGGCATGAAGATTGGCTCTTCCAGAAAGCAACTAATTCTTCACCCTTGCAGCACAAACTCTTCAAGAAGTTGTTCTCTTCAGCCTGAAGGACCCAGTGGTGAGGTAGCAGGAGGTGAATGGCAGTCACCTGCTCTACTCTATGGCCACCCTTCTTCACAGCCAGGGGGCCATACACCTCCCAGGGATCCGGAGCTTCTAGAAAGCGAAAATACTTTCTCACCAAGCCTCTGTGGCAATTGCCAGGTGAATGCCCACAAGCCCCAAGCTCAGGCAACTTCCCCACACACTGGCTCTCCAGCCCACTCTTAACTGCTGCTGAAGCAAGCTCCTGCACTTCTATGGCTGACAGCTTTCCTATGCTGAACTTCTTGAGCAGCAGCACCCACAAAGGACATGGGTCCATTTCTCCACAACTTTTGAGCAGCTAAAGGGGCAACTTCATTCAGCTTTAACAAGGGCTGTCCAGCCCAATTGCCATGTCAAGGGCTCTCCAGCCCAACAATGATAACAAGAGCTGTCCAGCCCAATTCAAGGGCTATCCAGCCCAACAATGGTAACAAGGGCTGTCCAGCCCAGCAAAGGCAAAGGGCTTCCCAGCTGACCTTTTTGCTTTCAAGAGCAGCTTGGGGTTGAGTTTGCCAGTCTGCCATCGCAAAACTTTGGCCAGGGGTGCCACTTATGATCTCAACTACAGACATTTTATGTGTTCAGTTCAACACTTGGTGGGCACCCCTGCTCTGCTTCAAAAAGTGTTTAAGCCTTCAAGGCTTTTGACACGAGCAGCTTCTTAGCTTTCAGCTTTTTCAGCACAGCAAAGGCCTTCTGCAAGGCTGGGGCCACCTCCTTCTTCTTGCCCTTATCTTTGTGGAGCTTCCCCACCAAGGTCAAAACCTCTTGGCCTTCCTTCTGGGTCTTGGCAACATCCTTCAGGAGTGCCTTGGGCATGTCCTTAGAGTGGCACAAGCCATCCAAGGTTGCCAAGTCCTTGGTGAGCTCCACCTTGAAAGCCATCAGCCTGTTGAGGAGTTGTGCTTGGCCATCTTCCTCCTGCACAGTGCTCGTCTCCTCCCACTTGTCCTTCTTGCCTTCTTTCTTCTCTTTTTTCTCCTTCTTCTCATTCTTGCTCTTGTCAGACTTGGTGCCCAAAGCCTTAGAGAGGCCAGCTGGCAGCCCATCACTGTCTTCACCACTCTCTTCACTTGGGGCACAGAAGTCTGCTTCTGTGAGCTTCTCTAAGCCCTTGCTCCTCATTACCTGCTCCAGCTCCTTCAGGTTGCTCTTGTTCTTCTTCTCAAAAGTGAAAGCTTGTTCTCTGGTCACATTCACCTGAGACTGCTCAGTGTTGGCCCTGAACTGCCAGTAATTGGGATCTGCTGGATCCTTCCTGGCAACTATACTTCCAGAAGCCACCCTCTCCTGCAACTCTTCTTTCCCCCAGTGTGCCAGTGCCTGGGCCTTTGTGAGCCAGGTGCTGGTGACTCCTTCACTTTTCTTCAAAGAGACCTTGTCCACCATTGCCTTGTAGTGTTCACCTGTGGTCTGCCCATCACACACCCAGCCAAACAGAAGTTTTCGCTTCTTGGCAAGGCTTCCCACTGACTCACTGGTGGTGGCTTTGTACTCCTCCTGGGCCCCAGAGCTTTTCCTGGACTTTTCAAAAGCCTTCCACAACCTCATTGCAGCCTTCTCATCTAAGCAGCTCAATGCCTTCTCAAACTGAGAACTGGACATTTGGGCTGCCTCCTCACAAAACTTGTTGTGGTCCTTGACTGCTTGAGCTGTGAGTGGCTGGTGAGCACCCTCAGGTGTATCCTCTTCCTCTGCCTTGGCAGCTGGCCTCTTGAGGCCTGCTGCTGCTGCTGGCCTCTTCATTGCTATGGCTGTGGTCTTTGTTTTCTCTTACGGCCAAAAGCTTTCTGGATTTTGAAGCAGATTGCTCAAGTTGAGGCCAAATCAAATCACATGTGTTGTGTTTTTTTTTGTGGCTCAATGGGCTATCCAGCCCAAGAAATTGATGGCTATCCAGCCAAAAAAATAAGTGTTGGTGTTTGTTCTGGCTCAAATACCTAGTCCAAAATAGTTATTGCAAATGGTACTTATTGTTTTGGCTCAAGGGGCTGTCCAGCCCAAAGTATATATTGGCAAAAAAAACAGAAAAATAAATATACAATGATTTTTTCTCGAAAGAAAAAAATGTTTTTTTTTATTTGTTTTTTAAAAATATTTCAGATTCATAGATTTTCAGGTGTGTTCATGTGAATTCAGGGGTGTTCATGTGAATTCATGGGTGTTCATGGGTGTTCATGGGTGTTCATGGGTGTTCATGTGATATTTTTGTAGTTTTGTTTAAATCTATTTTTTTCAAGGCTGCTCAGCCTTTTTTTTGTCAGGGCCATCCAGCCCAAGAAAAAAAAATGTTTGGATCAAGGCTATCCCAAAAATCTATATGTAAAATAATTGGCTATCCAGCCAATAGATTTTAAATTCTTTACTTGGAACTCAAGCCCATAGATTTCATATATAGAATGGGCTATGCCTAGAATATCCCATAGGCTCTCCAACTCAGAATTTTTCAATAATTAGCTGGCTCTCCAGCCCAAAGATTTTACATATTTCATTGGCTCTCCAGCCAACACTGTAGATTTTAAATATTTAATGGGCTCTCCAGCCCATAGATTTGAAATATTTAATGGGCTCTCCAGCCAATAGGTTTGAAATAGTGAGTGGGCTACTCCTCATGCCATTTTATGGACTGTCCAGCCCATAAAATATCAATACTGGATGGGTTTTCAATTATTGCAGGGGCTCTCCAGCCCAAAGCCTCCAGCTATCCAGCCCAATCCCTTCACATCCCCCCATGGTTCCAGCAGCATTTTTTCTCGCCAAAGTCTTGACTGTGCAGAGGGTCCCAAAGTTCTTGTCCATTGCATTTAAAAACATGTACCCTCACAACTCTTCAGCTGATCGAGTGTTTAGAAAATATGGTACAGGGCCTCATCTGACTGGCTGAGCTTCTCATCAAACAAAAACCTAAATATTGTGAGGTTAATGTCATTTGTTGTAATTTATTTTGGTCTCTCCAGCCCAGCCAGTCTGCTTTGGTAGGCTTGCCCTCTTTGAAATGGCTGGATTTTTCAGCAAAACAAAAAAATATATGTGTTTTTTGTTGGTTTGAATTTTGGACTTTCCAGACCAGCCATGTTTCTGTACCAGGGCTTGCCTATTTGTAGGCCTTTTCAATCTCACTAAGCAGATCCCATTGCCCAGCTCTCCTCACTTGTCGAATGAAGTCTACAGTCTTGGAGCGGCCCCTGTAGCTGTTGCATCCATATCCTGGGATGGGCAGTAAGGCTATCCAGCCTATCCATGACTGATGGGCTATCCAGCCCAGGTGTGGCTAGCCAGCCCAGTTGCAGCCAAAGTTCTCATGCAACCTTGGCACTTGGCACTCCTCAGGCAAGACTTCTTGGTGACATAGCTGGTGTGATAGCATTCCTTGCCTGGGAATGGCTCAGGTGAAATTGTGGGCTCTCCAGGCCAAAAACTTTTTTCAAGGCTATCCAGCCTAAAAAGGTTTTCAAGGCTCTCCAGCCCAAGAATTGGCTGTCCAGCCAAACAGATTAATGCAGCCAAGCTGGCAATGGGTCACCACATAGTCCAGATCCATGGACTCAATCACATTCCAGAAGGTGTTGTCTCCCCCTTCCCAGTCCTCGAGCTCTTCAGGACTCCTGGGCAAAAGGAATTGTTGTCTGTTTGTTTTTTTTTGGTGGTGAAAAAAATAAAGTAAATCTATAAAAACATATTGATCAGCAACCAAAAATCTTTTCTGCCCATGGTAAATCTTGTCCCTGGTCTCCTCCTGCTCCCCAACTTCCTGTGCAGCTGCCATCTTGATCCCATCCTTGGTTCCATCCTCCATCCCAGGACTCACTCCAACCAGCCCAGGTTGAGTCATTCCAGCCCCACTCTGACCCCTCTCCTGTGTTTGCTGCTGGGGCTGCAGAAAAGGGTGGCTCCTCTGTGCTCCTCCCTCCTCCTGATCCCTTGCCTGCTCCTGGGTTGTTCCAGGGTGCAGTGCTGAAACCTCCTGTGGCTGTTGGATCTGCTGCTGGTGCTGCTTCTCCTCCTGTGGCTGAGGAAGCTGGTGCTCCTGTGGCTCTGGCAGCTGGTGCTGCTGTGGCTGTGGCTGGTGCTCCTGTGCCTGTGGCTGCTGGTGCTCCTGTGCCTGTGGGGGCTGGTGCTCCTGTGCCTGTGGCAGCTGGTGCTCCTGTGCCTGTGGAAGCTGGTGCTCCTGTGCCTGTGGTGCCTGTGGGGGCTGGTGCTCCTGTGCCTGTGGGGGCTGGTGTTCCTGTGCCTGTGGAGGCTGGTGCTCCTGTGCCTGTCCCCAGACTCTTGCAGTTGGTGGTGGTGCAGTGGCTCCTCCTGTGGGTGGTGCTCCAGCAGCCTTGCTTGTCACTCGTTGGCTGTGGCTGCCCATGGGTTGACACCATGCCCTAATTGGGCTGCTGCCGCAGCTCCCAGGACTGCTTCATTCATCCTCTCCACCATGATTTCGTAGAAATCTTGCTCCACCATTTCTGCCAGGGAGCAGGAAATTGGTGAATGTGCATGGTTATGGCTCAAGGCTATCCAGCCTAAAAACTGAAGGCTATCCAGCCCAACAACCACAATTTTATATGTGCAATAATATGTTTTAATAGCTTAAACTTATTTACCCCCAACATAAAACATAGTTATGCAGCCCAAGAAAATTGTGCAGAATCCTGTGGTGGTTTCTTTCCTGCCCAACCCAGTCCTGGTGCCACCTCCTTCTTGACCCTCTGGAGGAACATCCTGGAGCTTTCCCAGTCTGCCTTGTTAATCACAGTGTGGGATTGGGTGTACAGGCAGATCTGGAGCAGCCACATGCCCACATCCATGCCAGGGTTGTGGAACTCCATCAGGGCCCTCATGTTCTGTCTCCAGACAGCACTGCCTCCTCCTCCTGCACCTGAAGGCATTCCCTTGCCACTGGTGTTCTCCACCCAGCCCTTCTTGCCCTTGCTCTCCTCACCCTTCTTGCCCTTGCCCTCCATGGCGATCAGGTGGTTCTCTGGGCGCTTTTCCAGGGTTTTTGAGCCCCACTTCTGGTCACACCACAAATCACAAAACAGAAATGCTTTGGGCTATCCAGCCCACAGACATGCTTTGGGCTATCCAGCGCACAGGGATGCTTTGGGCTATCCAGCCCACAGGGATGCTTTGGGCTATCCAGCCCACAGAAGCTTTGGGCTATCCAGCCCACAGAAATGCTTTGGGCTATCCAGCCCACAGAAGCTTTGGGCTATCCAGCCCACAGAAATGCTTTGGGCTATCCAGCCCACAGAAGCTTTGGGCTATCCAACCCACAGAAATGCTTTGGGCTATCCAGCCCACAGAAATGCTTTGTGCTATCCAGCTCACAGAAATGTTTTGAGATATCCAGCCCACAGAAATGCTTTGGGCTATCCAGCCCACAGAAATATATATCCAGCATACTTTACCATGTGCCAGCACACACCTCATTTTTCTTTGCACATGTCCCCCTACTTGTTCAGCTTCTTCTCCTTGTAGGCCTTCACCTCACCCACAGTCTTGCCATTTTCCAGCATCTTCTTCAGATCTCTTG